AAAGCCAACATCCTATTTAATTTAATTTAATAGTTTTTAGTTTGTAACTAGGCTTAAGTCATAACTTGTTTGCTTTCGTTCTTTTACCTTTAGTTTCATAACTAAAATTATTATCTAGCACACTGTGAAAGAATTTTTGTTCCATTTTAATTCTGAGATTGTTGCTTGTTCCATTGAATGGGTTTGGATTGATAGAATTCGGACTAAGCCATTCTGTTTTTCTGCTTTTTGTTTAGGTGCGTCAAATATGGATAACAGTCTATAGCTAATGGGTTGGGCTATACCGCGAAGGGCCTGTGGAAAGCGCCGTGTCTGGATCCAACCCAACTCTTCAACCTGAAATAAATTTCATCCAAAAGCCCAATAAGGCAATAATGAATTCCTCGAATTACGGTAATACCCTTCCATTAATCTAACCGTCAATCCTGTCACTCCCACCTGGCAGGAGGAGTTGGGCTTAAGCGGCCACCGACAATGACACACCCGCCACCTGTCAACCCCCACCGCCAGCCGTAAACCGCCTTCTTGATCCATAAATAAAATGAAAAATAAAACAACATTCCTCTCTCCGATATCCTGAATCTATGAAGTTCTATTTCTCCGACATGCGGAAGCATCCATGCTCATCGCTTTATTTAATTGAAACGCAATTTAATTTCTTTCTTAATCATTGGAGTTAATTTGTTTCCGTTTTGATTTTTTTTTTTGAGGTTTTGCAGATGGTACCAAGATTTTTATCGGGAAACAGGGAACCAGCAAAGGGTTTGTCTATGGTGTTCTTAATCGGTACCAGTTGCAGTTTCCAAAAATAGATAAGGTAGACCTCTGTGGAGCTGCTTTGCCAGCCTGGAATAATTAGTAATTTTTTGGGTGATAATGCAACAGTTGCGACCTCTGTTTAACAGGCTTGGATATAATGTAAGCTTCTCTAAACAAAACGTTCTTTTATAAAGAGTTATTTAACGATATCAACAGGCTTTACGTACAGTTCATCTTAGATCGAAAGCATGGCAAATTTAAGGCACCATTACTCCAACAGTCCATGGTCATTCATCTCTTTCCTTCTTGCGCCCTTGTTGCTTCTCCTTACCCTTCTACAAACAATATTTACAATCTCCCTTCGGTCTTGAAAGTGCAGGAAACCAAAATCTTTCATCCATGGATTTGGCTCTTCAGCATATATATGAATAATGCAATGACTCCTTAATTATGTCCAGAATTTGTGATTTGTTGAGCTAGTGTTTGTAATTGTTGGTATGAGTGCATACGACTCTTTGTTGATTGTATAAATTGGTGTTGGATGTTGATGCTTTTGTGTATGTAACTGGCATGTGAGCGCCCTGCTAATGGTTGGTCTTTCCCCACCATTTTTGTTGTTTGCGTGGATTTTTCTATTGCTTACAATATCTGTCTTCTGAGTTGAGAGTACCATATCTTAATTCTAAGGCTTGGATTTATGGGTTTTTTTTTTTTTTTT